TTTTCCTTCAGAAGATTGGGACTGGAAAAAGCAAAATTTTTGGGGTGAAAACTGAAACTTGACTCAAATTTTGTCTGCTGGCATCAAAATTAGGGATCATTTCTCAAAATATTGAAGAATATGACAAAAAAGTGCAGAACGTTTTAGGCGAGAATGTCTGGTGGTGAAAAGGCTAAACTGATGTAGGGAAATTCAATAATGAATAGACTCATTGTGGAATCTTATAAATATATATCATAAACATTATTGTGTGTGACCTTGTAGATAAGTCTGTCTAGTCTGTTAAATTCTGTAGCTCGAGCGGCAATTTTAGATTTTGTGATGTGGAAAGTCACTATATGATATATGTATCAATAGTGAGAATTTAGTTCAGTGAATTTAAATCTTTTGACGCTAACATTTTCTTCAATAAATATTTTGTGCAACATTTTGCACATTTTAATGATTTTTCTACAACTTTCAAGATCTAATTTCTTGGTCTTGATTAACATTTATTCTGGTTAATTTTTGTGAAATTGGCATAAACTTGTATTTCAGTTTTCCCTCAGCAATGATTGAGATAGACGTAGATTTGTCAACCAATCTTTTTAATAAGACTGTGAAGCTGATATGTCATCTTGGTGTAGTTTCCTTGCATTTATAAAATTTGATAACAGATGTATTTTTTCAATTTTGATTTTGATATAAATTATTTTTTAAAAACAAGATAAAAGTGCATGAAAATTTAATAATTATGGTGGCTTTCATGCACCTATGATAATTTTATACTAAACCTTTTCACAAGTCATATGTTCATCATTTTATGTGCTTGCTAGATGCATATAATTCTGAATTTAAAAAAATGTTGCGTAATTCATTAAAATTCATGCCACAGAAGATTGGTCTCCAATAATGATGACCGACAGCCAATAACATGCTGCGTATTACCTGGTAGAATAAACACCATTCCCAAATTCCTACCATATCCTTATTCATGATTGGTTGAAATCATCACTTTGATTGTTTGAATTCATTACATTAAAATCAGCATTACATGTAATACTGTCATGAATGTGATTTCAGGTTATCCGTAAAGGCTGGTTAACGATACAGAATATCAGTTTTATCAAAGGTGGCTCCAAAGATTACTGGTTCACGCTCACTGCTGAGAATTTTTCATGGTTCAAAGATGAAGAGGTAAGCAAAGGCTTTGAATAAAAACCACAGACTCAAATGCCTTTACAGATGTCATTGACAGTAAAAAACCACCAAAACTTGTAATTGCCCTTTAAATTGTGTTTCATTCCATACTTTCATCACTATTGGGGGGGGGGGGGGACAAGTCTTGTGACCTTCAAAAAGATATCGCAGCCATTTTGCCCAAGATCAGTTTCTTATAGGATGATCACGATCAGTTTTTAGGGGAAGTTGCTTATGAAAAATGTTAAATTTTTTTTTTATTTGTGCTGCAGGTGTGTGTCTATGGATGAATTAAGTAGTATTTTGATAATGTAATGTATAATAAATGCGATTTTTTTTCACATGTGTCTCTTTTATTGATGGGCTTCTAATAAGGGGAATACTGTTACAGTGTTTCTTCAGAATCTTGAAATATTGGATACCATTACCGTATTTGTTCTGTTCTGAGCGTCAGAGCTAAGTCTCTGGTCAAAATATGACTTAATGCAATGTTCTAGCATTTAATATAGTTTTTGCTTTATGCAGTATTTATTGTTGTTACAATAATTTGGTTTCAATGGAACTTTGATCATTCCATACAAGGTAGGTAATTATTCACATTTCTGTATTACAGGAAAAAGACAAGAAGTACATGTTGATGTTGGATGGTCTCAAACTCAGGGATTTGGAATCAGGTTTCATGTCTAAGAAACACATGTTTGCATTATTCAACCCTGATCAAAGGTAAAAACTGACATTCTGGTCTTAGCAGTGTCTCCTTCAGTGTAATCAGACATACCAGTACTTTGTAAGATTATCTGGATGCAGTTACAATTGCTGAACACCACAAAGTGCATCCCCATCCCCATCTTCTATTTTTTTTTTAAGTAAACATTTGGCATTATTGTAAATTTTTTCCATCATTTTGTTAATAGTTGTTAAGAAACCTAAATTTCCCAAATGTTGCTTAGCTGTTTGTATTTAAAACTTGTGACTAAAGTTGGTGATATTGTCATATTCTTGTAATATCACTTACTGATATGGTTTCTTAGGTTACATCGAAACTCTCTCTCTTCAGTTGTTGTCAATTCCATTTGCTTATAATAATCCAGATGATAAAATCCTTAATTTGTTTTGATTTGAATTCAGGAATGTGTACAAAGACTATAAACAGTTGGAATTGTCAGCAGATTCTGCTGAGACAGTGGACAGTTGGAAAGCATCCTTCCTACGAGCCGGAGTGTATCCGGAGAGACCACAAGATGAAGATGGGAGAAATGAGGATGGGGTAAGACTTACATGTCATTGATATAATCTATGCATGTTTGAATTTATCATTAACACTTGTAATAACACAAACCTTAGGTAACATAACTTTTGTAAATAACAGATTACAAGATATAAAGACTATTACTGGTTTCCAAGTCTATGTGAAGCACTTATATTAACACTATATCTGTAATTATATTGTAGGTGATTTTTCATTTACTGTGAGATTTTGCGTAATGAGTGAAAGACATGCCTGCCGCAAAAATAAAATGATTTAATTTTGAACTTGAATTTCTCTTCTCTGTAGTTCGTGATTCCCTTCCTTCAGTGAGGAATATAGCATTGAGATACCCTTACTTCATCAAAATTGACCATTATCAAAATTGACCATTATCAAAATTGACCATTATTAAAACCTATAACAAAATATTCACATTTGTTGACTCCCACGTGATGTTTCCATACCACCATGGTGATATAATCTTTGTTTGTTCCTCTTTTACGTTCGATTTCATGCGTAACGTGGATTTCACATTGAACGAAAAATGGTCTTTTGGGAAGGAAAATTAGAAGTGACAAATTCAGTGAAGTATATGTTTCTCAGTTTTGGTCATAAAAAATTGAGGAGACTTGGATTGGATAGATTATCCTATTACTGGATCACTAGTTTATCCTTTGTTATGAATTTGTTCTGGCCTTTGAAGGGAAGCTACCAATATCTGGATTTGCACCATGGAATGTTGGGAAACTATTGCTTGCCTCACACAAAATCAATT